TGCTAACAGAAATCAGTATCCGAAAGAGAGACCAATGCCTTATCCTTGACTCCTACGTTACGAGTTACGATATCGTATTGCACGATAATGCAAACGATTGCTTGGACTTCGGAGCCAAAATTTTGAGTCATGAGTTTTAAATTATCGAAAAAGTAGCTTATTAGTTTATGAATAAATTATTTAAATATATTATATAAATTTTTATACAAATATAAAATTTAGGGAAAACTACTGATTTCACTGAATCCATAAGTCAAAACTAGCTCCATCCCTGTCTACACGGAAATCTCCACAACAAAAGCTTCGAGATTGTTCTATGGTGCAACGACAGCAAGTGTAACACACAGCGGGAGCCATTGGATGGTGGAACAAGTCATTGCTCCAGGGACGGATGTCACCTTTTGGTCATCTGTTTATCTGACCCTAAACTCTTAATATCGTTGTTTAATGACGGATCCAAAATTTTGCACAAGCGGGTTCAATTTAAGATGACGTTAATCGATAGTATAAGCAGTATCGAACATAGTGAACAGAATTTGGTCACAACAAACTCAATGAAATCTCACACGTGGAGTCTGGGGAGGATAGTGTGTACGCAGACCTTACCCCTACCTTTTGAAGGTAGTGCGAAGAGTGAAAGAAAAAAAAAACTTGGCCATAGATCGGCTCATTCAGGTAAAAATTTTACATTTTACATTTGGCTTCAAGACTCTGCATGTATCGGTCCTAAGTTCGGATAAAGAAGAGTTGTATTGAGTTAATCAGATCAGCGTAAAGTTAGTCAATTTATGATCCGGACAAGAAAGGATTGCTTTAAAGACCCGTGTGGGGGAACAATTAATACTTCTGTCTATTATAGAATGTGATATCAATAGAGAGTCAAAAAGTATCAAAACATTACATAAAATTATTCTTTAACTCTTAGATTCAATTTCACATATGGGTGGATAATTTTATGTTATTCACCTCTGGATCTTGTTATTTTGGCTTTCATAGGTTTCCTATTTGAAGTAGGTTGTCCACGCTATAGATAAGAGGAGTCAAGACTGGTCCCAAGCAAAGCAACTTTAAAGACTCGTGGGAAATAATTAATATTTACTTCTGTCTATTTATAGAATGTGATATCATTGATTTTATGTACCAAGAAAACATTTTCTCACAAAAAATAAATACAAATTAATGCTTCAAGACTTGCTGCTCACAATATTTAAAGAGTCGAATTTAAGATTTAAGATTTATAGATTCAATTTTTAAGATTTTTAATATTAAATTGATCTTATTTTTAAAAGGTAACACAACAACACCTGCCTCGTCTGAAATATGACAAGAGAACAGTGTGAAAGCTTGCGAGCCAAGGTCGAATGCTTCCTCACCAAGTTTCGACATTTCACACATACTTCAAATACAAAAGAAATCCAAGTTTGTCTACACTCGAGAAACTTCATGCCAAAAGAAAGAAACAAATAAGATTCACACATACTTCAAATACAAAAGAAATCCAAGTTTGTCTACACTCGAGAAACTTCATGCCAAAAGAAAGAAACAAATAAGATTCACACATACTTCAAATACAAACCACACACTACTACTATTACCTTTACAATGTGCTTGCATAAATTTTCAAGATATGAAAAATAGACTGTATCACAAAATAAGAGAAAAATATTTTTATCAATCAATTGTGAGTACAATTTTGTTTCTCTCTTGATTCTTCTCTCCTGATTATCTCCGTGATTCAAAGGTTGAAGCAACGTATTTCTCGAATGTAGGATACCTCCTGGAATGTATTTATTGATCTCCAACTTCTTGAACTATTTGATTGTCAAGAAGTATCCGGCCATATTTTGATCTCTTTGTGAATATCCCAAGAGTTTATGGGATTTTTGAGACCCCTCTTCAAGGGAATATGTATCCCTTTATAAAATATGTATTATTTTATATAGGTGTGCGTTAGGGTTTAGGGTAGAGTAACCTTCAAGAAATCCTAATAGACTCTTAGGATTTCAAGAGTCTTGTAGTATCTTAAATTTAAAATTTAGCTTGATTCGTTAAAATTTCTATGTCTACACAATGTTCCAGAAAACAATCTTAATCATTTGGAATTAACAACAAACTCTTTTTATAACACAACTTGTCATTGTTTATATTGTTTATTTTCCTATTTTATCGAAAAATATGCAACAAAAAGGACTAGATCCCCTTGTTGCCTTTGGCACAGTACATTGCATATGGCTGTAATATTTGTCTGAGTTTATATATGTTATCCACTATTGCATCTATTAACTGTATTATGAGTTATGTCATATACATTGTATAAATAGTAATATAATGTGTGTTTAAGTGTGAATATAAATATATATAAATTAAAAATACATGATATATAAATTGTATAATAATGGTATAATCATATTTATAATGTAAATAAGTGTGAATCAAAGTATATAAATTAAACATACTTGTTATTTAAGTTAAAATATCACATCCTACAATGTAAAAATACACTGTATATATACTAGGAAAAATATACGGTATATAATATGAATTATAATATGATTTATACAAATATAATTTCTTAAAAATTATTATAAATTATACTAGATATATACATGGTATATAATATGTCGATTTTGTATTCTTTAATTCATCACTTTTAGCAAAACTATAATGAATGAAGACTTGGTAAAAAGGTAAAAGATGAACAATAAAAGGCAACTACAGGAATGTTCACATGAGAATAGCAGCTATTCAAATTTGTTCCATCCCTATTTCATATGAGAATAGCTCTATTTTTCTTACATTTTTTTCTACTTATTTTCCTTTTTTTTTGTTTTCCAAAAAAATGCCTCTTGCTATAATAATACTATCATAAGCAATTGCAATATTCTGATGGTTATGCATTGTATAATTATGATATCATGTGTATTTAAGTGTGAATCAAGATAAATATAAATTAACAATACCAAATCCTATATATAATTCACAAAAACTACATGGTATATATATGAACTATAATTATGATTTATACAGCAAACAAGATTTTTAATTATACAAGGAATATTTATGGTATATAATATATTCATTATATATTTATGAAATAATTTTGGCATATAGCATATCTAATTAAAAATATTTTATTATATAAATGATATGTTAATGGTATAATGTATATGTGTTTGCGCATGTTTGTTTTAGCTAGAACATATTTTTGTATATTTATGGAATAAATAAAAATACATAGCATAATATTCATTATATATTTATGAACAATGAAAGAGCCATTATAGTCCGGTTGAAAAAGTTGAAGATGTAAGATGAGAGGGGTGAGAGAGAATGGAGTGGTATGTAACTCTGTATAAAGGGAAGAGAGAGATTAGGTTTTGAGGGGGATAAATTAATGAGAACAAATTAGTAATTCATCCCTTAATTAGTGATTCCTTAATTAATGAATCTTTTAAAACATATAGGCAAATAAACGTATGAGTTTTTTAAAACATGCCATAATTGTAAATCAATTTGCTGTTTTTGGAATAAAGCAAAAGTAATACCATTTATATTATTAACTCTTTAAAAAAGATCTATCATGTAAAAATCCGGTAGAGGGAAAGCTAGAATTTTGAGTTATGAATTCTAAATTATTAAAATTTCAAAAGATATTTGAACCCATAAATTCAATCTTACAATGACTTAAATGCAATCTTGGAATCATTAAATTTAAATTTTAAATCCACCTCGTCAACGCTTGTCACCCCTGCGTCTCACACATTCAGGAGCAGATGCATGTATGAATTAAAGACAAAAATTACTTTCTCCATTCCATTTTTAACTGTAAATTTAGCTCTTCTTACGTTTATTAAGAAAATAATAAATTTATGATATAATTTACTAAATCACTCATATTAAATGCTTTTTGAAAATTAAAAAATATTAACAAACACCATTATTTTTCTAATATTGAGGGTACATTGGGACGATTACCAAAAATAATCTTAAATTTCTAAATTGACAATTATTTTAGGGTAAATGTTTTGAACTAAAGTAACTGTTAATTTGAGACAAAGGGAGTAAAAGACTAACTAGCCCATATACACCGAGAGTCACTAATGCGGAGGATATTCATCTTTACCTGTCCAACCGAATCACCTAGTTCATTTATACTTATTGTCTGAATTTGTTAGTTTTAAATTCTATCCTTTATTTATATTAATTGTTAAAATTCATAAACTGCAAATCCTAATATGTTATTTATAATTAGTGTCCAAAGTCAGAAATTTCAAATCCTAATCCGTTCTAACAGAGGCACAACGCATTCCGTTACTTATACGTGGGGTCAAAACTCATAAAAAAAAAAAATTATGCTCTTTTAAATTAAGAGGATCTATAGTGTTTTCATATTTTTTGCGTGACTCAAACTATAGGACCTAATGGTCGTGTATGAAGATACTTTTATCAACTGAGCAAGTCTCACTTATTAACTCATACGGCTAATAACACTTATATCAGCCGACGGGATAAGGTGATATTTTCCGCACCGAAAATTTTCAAGTCTGTTGTGTGAAATATGACAGAGAAAAGCATGTGAAAGCTTGTGGCCAAGAATTCTACCCCAAGTTTCGATTAGTTAGCTCCCGGTCATAAATTTTAACTATTTAGTTTCAATTTTTTTTTAAAACAATGATCTTTTATTTGATTTTGTATATGTAAAAGAGGATTCGGGGTTTGTTCATGAAATATAATCAGTTTTCAAAAAAAAATTAACTTTTTTTTCAAGTTTCCATAAACTAATTTAAGACAGTTTTTTAGTGAAATTTTTCTTCCAATCATAAAATTTCAATTTTTTTTTTCAAATAAAATACATGTCCAAACACAACTTCAACTTCCAAAAATTATTTGCCAATTCAACTTCAAAAATTTCTTTTTCAAGTTTCTAACCAAATTTATATCCAAATATTTGCTTAGAATACGATATGAAATCCAAGTATGTTTATATTCAAGAAACTTCATACCAAAGAAAGCAACAACATTTTCATACATAAAATTCAAATGCAAAATTGACAACAAACTCTATTTTACAATCACCACACACTTGACACTACTTACTATCAACTTTACAAAATTCCAGAAAAAAAAAAAAGACATCTTAGGAAATACAACCTTAAAACATATGGAATTAACAGCAAAACTCTCTTACAACACCACCCCCCTTTTTTTTATCTGTAGATTTTTTTAACCATATATATATTTACTGCTTATTATCTTCCAAAGATTGATTTGATCCACCAAATTCCTTTGCTGTCCTGTGGAGCATTTTCACTCTCTGGTGGAGGATCAGACTGAGGTGTCTTGTGAAGTTTACTCACATCATAACCAACTTCTTTAGCCTTCTCAATCAGCATGTTGTATATCTCTTCATCAAGATGATTTCTCCTACATAATATCTGCAAACCAAAAAACTAAGGTTTAGGAATGGACTTTAACTTATTAATACAATAAGGGTATTGAGATATTGAAAACCCTTTAGTAGTCGGTCATGTAAGGACGTTCAAAGTCTAATCAGTATAATTTTTCGGCGAAAAGTATTCAATTGACTACCCTCTTGAGAGAGTTATCTAATAACTACAATTATGTTGGTGAGAGATAGCTAATACGGATTGAGTAGTCGTGGACTCAAGGTGCACACAAACTAATTCGAACACCACGAGTTTGTATATGTAGTTGGTCTTTTGTTGAAAACTAAACCAATTTTTCAGCACATATATGGACATTATGCTCAGGCAAACAAGTAAAAAAATATTAATAAAGGAAAAAATAAATTCTCACATAAACAATCAATTCCTCAAAGCAGACACATTAAGTCTATCTAATTATACTCAAAGCTCATCCAAATTGTGGGCCTTTGCGCAACTGATAAAATTAGTTGTTAAAGTTTAAAGTTAGTTAGTTGTCATGTCACCAAGAAGGTCACGGTTCGAGCTGTGGAAACAATATATATCATAAATGCAGGTAAGGTTGCATACAATAGAATCTTGTGCTCTGATCCATCAAGGACCCTGCGTGTAGCGGGAGTTTAGTACGCCGGGACTATACTCATCCAAAATTCGCATGACTTACTAAAGTGTCAAAAAGAAAAGGGAACTTACCCAAAGATAATTCCTACTAGGCTGACCAATCAAAGCATATTGATAATCATTATCAATATAAAGAACCCAATAATCCCCAGTAATAGGAATAATTGGCAAAAATGGAGGAACATAAAACTTCACTTTAAGCTTAGCTTCATCACTTTTAGGATCAGCTTTATAAGCAGTCCCTTCAATTGAACCTCTTTTGCCATTACTCCAAGTTTCATTTAACACATGTACTGTACCATCTGGATTTAAAGTGTAAGTGGCTCTTGTGTCTACACCATTTTTGGGCTGATTTCTTGATGGGAAACAAGCTATTTCATACCATCTTCCCATGTATCTTTCAACATCCAAATTCCTCACTACTTCCATTTCTTTTGTGGTCATTTTTTCCAAGTTTCAAGAAAGTAACTCTCTCTTCTTCTTTTTTCAAGATTTTTGAGGTTGGAGAAAAGGGAGTTTTGTAAAAATTTTGTAAGGGGTTTTGGATCGACTTCTTGATAAGGTTTTGTGGGATTTGATGAGATTTATAAAGGTGATAGGGTGTAATGTGAAATTTATGGATATAGACGTGGGCGCTTGAACACCTTACAAGTGTAATAATGGATTTTGAAATACTATGTTTTGGCAGATTGAATTGGTAAATTCTAGAATATTGGTGTTTAAATTCTGATACAAGGGGCTGTTAAAGTTGTTTGTTTTCGGGTTTTAATGTAGAGATTTTTATACCATAGAACTCTTATAAAATAATATTTATATTAGTGTTACCGCATTTGGATTATTCCAATAATAGCAGATTTTATTACAAAAATAGCATATTTGAATAAAATACTACGTAATATTTAATAGTAATTCATTTATTCTCTAACTCTTCCTCAAAACAGGGGATTATGTTTAAATTATTAATATATTATTTCTCTTTCTATCTCATATCACTTCACTAGAGGTGTATAAACCGAACCGAAAAATCGCACCAAATCGAAAAGTCAAACCAAATCGATTAAAAAACCCGACTTGGTTTGGTTTGGTTTGATTGGTTTGGTATTGAGTAAAAAAATCCGAACCAACCCGACATATAAATATATAACTTTTATATATACTTTTAAGATTTTATATAGAATTTTCTTTAAAAAATATCTATAAATATTTGGGATTCTCTTGCGAGAAATAAATTTTAATAGAATATGAAGTGCTCCATATTTATTGACCTTAAATAATGGGTTGTATGATTACTTTCTTATCAAGTGTTACCGAAATGCGTTTATCTCTTTATTCTTTCATATTCATATCATATGTTAACATTTATTAAATTCTTATATCGTTTTCGAATGTGAAGTGATTATTAATATTTAGGTATCATATTGATTTTTATGTTTAATTACTAAATTCAGTTAACCTGAAAGTGTACATCAACGAAAAATTATTGTCAGGCGACTTAAAAAAATAACTATTATGTGTTACTAATAGAATTCTCCCATAAGAATATTTTAATCGATAATATGTTTGTCCATTTTTTATATATTTACTAAATATATATTTACTTATCAAATATTTAACAAAGTAAGATTAAAATAATATTTAAGTAACAAAAACTCGAAAACCTGACAAAACTGAACCAATCCAAACCGATATGATTGATTTGGTTTGATTTTGATAAAAATCGAGTCAACACGGTCCATTTACACCCTTTCACTCCACCATGGATTGTCCTTCGAATTCACTGCCTTTCTTTATTGCTTTCCAAGTATCAAATTCCTTCTTTTAATTTTCGCCCATCCATTAGTTTGTCAATTTGTTCGATCTAATTTTTTATATTTTCTTTGTGATTTGGTTTGAATCTCAAAAGTTTAGAATTTGAGACAATGATGACCAAACATTTATATATGTAATCAAGCTATGAAAGCTTATCAAATATATACCATGAACATATCTTTGTTATATCAAGTAAATATACATACAAAATAAACAAATACATATATACGGAATACCATCATTATACCATCTATATAATTATATATACNTGTTTTTGGTAAATATACATGATTTCTTCCAGTATTATACATATTATTAATTATACATGTTTTGATGAAAAATTAATGAAAATATTATTAAAGAGAACACATTGACTGAGTGTATATTTCAATTCAAGAAGAGTAGCAATCACTTTAAAGTTATAATAATTCACGGAAGTACCTAATTTATTTGTGATTGGCAGGACTTGTGTATCATTAATTAATATGCCTATTTTAGTGGAATTTGGAAGTGAGTTTTATTTTTGGATGAACGTTATCATCTTTCCTTTTATTTTTGCTTATTTTTAGGGATTATTAACTATCCCTATTTTAATGGGATTGAGTAATTTTCTGCTATGCAATATATTTATTTAATTGCCACGAATGTAAAATAACTATTGCTGCTAGGTTTTTGAATTTTTTTTTCTTAAATATTGCCTACTTATGTTTTTTCCCCATCATATATATATTGAAAATGCTTTATTTACCAACAATCTAATTTTCATAAAGCACTATAGTTTAGAGCTCATAAACTATAATTTGTCTAATTACTATTCATAGTTATTGTTCAATTGTTACGATCTTGTATCACTTGTATTCTGAATACAATATGTATTAGTTGTACTCATTCGCACAACAAATACAACCAAGGAAAAATATAGGATTGTATACAAAATATATAACATATATCGATTGTATACATGGGTATATACAAAGGATACAATCTATATCGATTGTATTCGTTGTAAATATCGAACTCAAGATCTCCACTTGCTAAGCGGGAGCTTTAACCAACTAACCTGCGAGAGTTTGTTGCTCTCTTGTTTCAATTCAAAATAAATAACCTCTTTTTTCATAAATTTGTTGTGGTTAGACCGGCCATGATGTATGGGGCTGAGTGTTGGCCCGTTAAGAACTCACATATCCAGAAGATGAAAGTAGCAGAAATGAGGATGTTGAGGTGGATGTTCGGGCATACTAGGATAGATAAGATTATGAATGATGATATTCAGGAGAAGGTGCACGTGGCTCCCATTGATGACAAGATGCGGGAAGCGAGATTTAGATGGTTTGGACATGTTCAGAGGAGAAGCCCAGATGCTCCGGTACAGAGGTATGAGCGGCTGGTTGTGCAGGGCACGAGAAGAGGTAGAGGGCGGCCTAAAATATATTGGGGAGAGGTGATCAGGCAGGACATGGCGAGACTCCAGATTTTCGAGGACATGACACTTGATAGGAAGATATGGAGGTCGAGTATTAGGGTTGTAGGTTAGGAGGTAGTTGAGTCTTGCCTTACTTCGTACCATTGTGGGACTAGCCAGGTAGGGTTTTTGTCTAAGATAGCTAGTGGCAATGTTGTGTCTTACTATTTCGCTTTTCAGTGCAGGACCTATTTAATAACTATCGCTTTTGCTTTGCATCTTTCTTCTAGATTTCATGGTGTTCTTAATTTTTCTATGATTGTTGTGGTGATACTAATATTGTGTCCTTTTGTCCTTTTATTTTCTTGAGCCGAGGGTCTTTCGAAAACAGTCTCTTTACTCCTCCGGGGTAGGGGTAAGGTCTGCGCACACACTACCCTCTCCAGACCCCATTAGTGGGATTTTACTGGGTTGTTGTTGTTTCATGAATTTGCTATTAAATCCAAATATACCGAGGAATGTTAATTTTCTAAAAATATAGCTAAAATGATAAATGCAACGTATATATTTGATGTGTCCCGCAATAGTTTCGGTAAAATAGTACAATTATGTTGGTGCCGAGAGTATTTAGGACGCCAAGAAGTATGAATAATTTGTAACCTCATGACTTGTAATGGTTAGTCCCATAATTTGTTACAGTAACCATATTAAAGATTTCACAAGTATTGTTAAACCGACTAAAATGATATAATAAAATTTCTCTCTAGTATTCATCTCCCAGTTTTTAATTGGTTTGTAAAGAATAGAATTTTGTAAAAATTGCACGTGCTAGTCATTTTTCGGATGGGTAATCGAAAAATAGTCGGTGTTTGCGAAATCAATGAAAAATAGCTAATGCTTTGCTGAAACACGAAAGTTCCAGCATAATATGCGGATTTATGGGGATCCTGCGTATAAACTTCCAGCATATTATGTTGGAATTCCAACACATGAAAAATTCCAACATAATATGTGAAATTATGGAGCTCCTGCATATAAACTTTCAGCATATTGTGATAGAACTCCAGCACATTATAAAATTCCAGCATGGAAGCTCATATGTAAAAAAATTCGAATTATATGCTGGAATATTTCCGGATTTTTAAGATTGTTTTTGTTCAAATTTTATCTTTACATGAAAAGTGGTTAAATTTCAATTACTTTTGAAATTGTGGCTATTTTTCAATTACCAGTTGTAAATATGACTATTTCTAATTTTATCAGTCAGTTAATTTTTGTTCTGTGCAACAAATATTTTCACTTTCCCATTTATCTCCCGTCAAGAGAAAATGGTGAAGGATGTAGCAAATTCATCAGTATTCACAAATTTGAAACAGAACAGAGCTATTCCAAAAGGTTTCACTCTTGGAAATAACAATGTAAGAGTTTTCTTGATCAAAGTTTTGTTCTGTGATTTGGTTAAACTGTGGGGACTGCAATTTGGAAGATGTTGATCAGGCATCTCTTATTCTTCTACACAGTGCAAAAACCACATGCTAAGTAGAATGGGTACACTAGAAAACTACATCCTGATAAATTTCACTGTTTTGGTTTTGGACATTTACCGGACTTATCTACCGTGACACATAGGTACATTTGATCAATCTTTAGTGACTTGTGAGGCCTGTATGATTGTTTCAGTCTCCAAATGACATTTTGAAGTGAGCGAAAAACCTCAAGAATACAAGATGCATAGAGAAAGTTTCTCAGATATCCCAAAATCCCTACAATAAGATGGAGATCTTCTCAATTACAGATAAAACATAAACAGAGGTTATTTACATACCGGTATTCCACGCTTATCCGAAAACAGTCTCTCCGCCTTTTTAAAGGCCCACGCTTATCCGAAAACAGTCTCTCCGCCTTTTTAAAGACCCATGCTTATCCGAAAACAGTCTCTCCGCCTTTTTAAAGGCAGGGGTAAGGTCTGCATACATTCTATCCTCCCTAGACCCCACTTGTGGGACTACACCAGGTTTATTGTTGTTGTTGTTATTTCACGCTTATAGTTCCTTTTTATGGCAGCTTCAATGGCCAGAATGTAAAAGCCAGAATGTTTCTGGGGAAGTCCCAATTAAGAATACAATCTCAACTTAGAACTTGCCAGAGGGTACTAATTCACTGGTTCTTGGAAACTTAAAAGAGGATCTAATACCAATGGTGTTTGGATCCTTAAAAAGGATTTCAGAACATCTGTGCATTAATAAGATACCGCTAAATTGCCAACTTTGTTTATTACTTGAAATGCAGTCGACGGAGAATATCCAGAGAGCAACTTATCTTGCCTATGGGAAAGCACTAAAGAAGGTGCTGACATTATTGACGTTCTAATACAACTGACAAAAGATGGAGTTGCACTCTGGCGGTCTTCAGCTGAACTCCTCCCAATAACCACAGCGCCAGAATGCTTCATGAATTTAGCAACTCATATGAACAAAGAATAAAGCTTCTCGGAAATTCTCTTTAACCTTGCAATACAAAAACAAAAAACATAATCGATTGTGAGCTCACTGAACATTAATAGCGTTTTCACAAAACACAATCGAAGTACTCCCTAGTCCCTCCCTTGATTTAGTCCAGTTGCAGCTAAACTGTACAGTGATTTAGCAAAGAATTCTAAACAGAACTGTAAGCAAGATCATGGGAAAGATTGTAACCCTCTTACTAGTCTTGGAATTGAAAAGCAAAATCAACTCCTGGAGTTTGATTTGATCAACATAGATCTAAGTTTCTTTTCCATAGTACTCAGGCATATAAGAATTTAGCCTAGTGGGATAGAGTACATAATACCTGTAACTTTGTCTTCAACGATGCTGAATACCTTGGACCGAGCAATCTTGATATAATCGAAGCCATCACGACTGCCATTTGTAATGCCACCTTTGATAACCATCAAAGCAGAAGGTTTGATAATGTCAAGTAAAAGTTCAGTGCTATTAAGGCTCAAGGATATCCCCATTTACCAATTAACCAAAGTGTAGCCAATTCAAAGCCTTCTTCATAAGAGATGTACTAGTGATAAACAGGCAGTTATTATTGCTCCACATTAGGATATGTGGTAATGGAAAAAATGAACATGCCAACTTAAACTAATGCTTTTCACTAAGCGTTAGAAAACCTCAAACTATTGAATATTGGAATGAAACGAGTCCAAATGGGGATGGATAGATAGTAAGTATTCCTATATCTGACAGTAGCTTGTTTGATATTGAAGTGTTGTTCTTGTTGCGAAGAGGGTGACAATGTCGGAGAAATGCAAAAATAAATAAAAAGGAAAAAAAAAGGCTATACTATTGTAGAAGAAATAGGCAGGTAGAAAGAAAGAAATGAGGCTCAGAATTGCCTAAGACTATCAGAAAAAGGCTAATCTGCCATGGCTGCAAAGGCCAGAGCTTTTGCGAGACAGGAAATAAAACCAGCTCCCAAAACTTTCCCTGAACTTTGCCAAGCCAAGATACAAATCAGCTCAAATATCCGAGATTTCAAGCTTACTGGATAAAATCATAACAGCCTCATTGATTAGGTTTAGGGTTTAGACAGGAATGGATTCATACAGCCAACCACAACAATTAGGGAATGAGCTATAGTTGATTGATTTATCAGCATAATCATCATCATCATCATTGTCGAGATATAATATAATTAACAGAAGTGTACTCTCCATCTAACAGCTTAAAATATTAGATGAGATGGTCCACAATCATTAGCATTTTGCAGTGCAAGGCTGTAGATCACAAAAGAATTCATCGGCTATGAACTCACAGAGAAACAGAGCAACCACCCTTAGGAATTCATGCATTCTCAGAGTCACAAAAGCCTCCTTTTTTAGAATAATCAAGGTAATGAGGTAGGCTCAGATACACTTTTTTTCAAACAAAATCCAAAGAGCTTTTAATAACTGTCATGGCTGCATGGCATCAGTTGGCCTTAGGAGATGGAGAACAAACACCAAAAATGGATCTTTTCTCTCCACATCTCACAGACCAATCTGAGCTGCCATGCCAAGATACAATTATTGTTTTTCAATGTCAACCAAATTTTGCCCAAACGCCTAAACAGTCTTTTCAGCTCAGAGGAAAATGTCTGATTCATCTTTCAGAAACAGCAATCTTCATAGCCTCTGATAAATGGCATCGAAGGAGTAATGAATCAATCAACTACTGGTGGTTTTGCAATTGGAAAATTTTTCATTTGAGAGATCATCGGCAGCGTAGAATGACAGAGTGGCAAAACCACCCATTGAAATTCCCCAAAGCTCTTTGCTCTCACCGCAGTCTCAGACTCAAACTAATCACCATCTTTATGTTTCCCTTTTGAGGCTCAGATGTGTGTTATAGCTCAAGCAAAAGAGATCCGACGACACCATGGCTGCAAAAACCACCAAATCTGGAACATGCCCCGCCAAGGTATGGGACGGATAATCTCAAATGCTCAATTACTAAGCTCAGAAGGGAATGAAAGATATGCAAAATCATCATCGCATCTTTCGAGGCATCAATCACTCTCCCCACCTCCGGCATAACTTGTCTCTAAATCAAACGAACCCTAACAGCTTCTTTTGATGGTTGTTAACCATTGTATTGTGTTGTTATTTCAGATAGGCCAAATACATAGGCAGCTCCTCAAACTTGGCACGAATTGTCATTTAGACACTTCTACTTTACAAAGCAAAAGAGTAGGCGACACTGCCATGGCTGCAGACACCAGTTTGCTACATAAAGCCATACCAGGCCGCACCGCCAAGATACGACTCGAAACTTTCTTAATGACAAGATTGAACATATCCCAGAAAGGAAAGCAATCTTCACAGCCTCTTACAGCATCAGTAGCAGCAGCACATAGTGAAGAGGAAGAGGAGTACACCGGTGTCTTTGGTTGACGGATTTCTTCTTCTTCTTTTTCTTGTTTATTCCAAAGGGCTGTTGGTATTTTTGGTTATGAATGGAGAAATCACAGGCATAACAGAGAGGGGTTACCACCCTATACAGAAAATCCATCTCTCTGATGCCTCATTCTTCTTTCTTGATAGGCTATGCTCAGCTGATACTGAACAAATATGGTGATGGATTAGGACTGCAAGATGCTTTATAACTTGTAGTAGAAAGTCGCAGGTTAGACATATCCCGACATTGAATCATGGAAAAAATTCTGATTTTTTTTTTCTCTCAAGCAAATGGGTCTCAGATGTGTCTTATGATAAAGCAAAAGAGAAGCCAGGCACGTCATGGCTGCAAATAGCGGTTGCATGAGAGACAGAAAAGTCTCAGTCACAGGCCATACCGAGTTGCCACGCCAAGATACGGGTTGGATAATCTCTATGCCCTAGTTGGTTAGCCCATATATAGAAACATCTTCATCACTTCCTCTTTATGCACCTTCCATCAACACCATAAAAAACAAACACAGAGGAAAGACACAGATGACAGTGTATATAAGTAAAATTCTTTTTGCAGTTTCTGCCAGTTCTAAAAACAAAGGGTTGTTGGTTGTTTAATAATGGACGAAAAATCAATGGCGGAACAGAGAGGGGAAACCACCCTTTAAAGAACATCCCAAACTCTCTATTTTGCCTCATTTCTTTCTTTCTGAGCTAACCATTCGTTTTGGGTAAATATTTTGGTTTTTTCATCTCCAAGTTTCCCGGTTCTCCTTTCCCTCTTTTTTCTATGTGCTAGTCTCTGGATAAGCCTTGGGTAAAAAAGCCATAACATTTAGCTTGGCCTTCGTGCTTTTATAATAGTACAGATATAGATAGATATAGATAGATAGATATAAATCCCCCGAGGAAGGGTTAATCTCTTAAATCAAGACTTACATGGGCCTTTCGGACAAAGCAAAAGAGAAGGCGACGACGCCATGGCTGCAGACACCAGTTTGCTACATTACCGGGTCGCCCCCAAGATACGGGTCGGATATTTTCTCAATGATGTTATTGAACATAGCCCATAAAAGAAAAGCAAGATTTGCACAAATAGGATAATTTGAGGCCACTGTTTAACGACTCAGATGTGTGTTATGATAAGGCAAATAAGAAGTCAGCCACGCCATGACTGCAAACATTGGTTGCATGTGAGAGAGAGACGACTCAGTCACAGGCTATACCAAGTTGCCAAGCCAAGATACGAGGTCAGATAATCTCCATGCCCTAATTGATTAGCCCAGATATATAAACTTCATCATCATCACTGCCTCTTTATGTACCTTCCATCAACACCTAAAAAACAACACACCACACACAGAGGAAAGGCAGATATGTAGTAGTACTAGGAGGAGGAGTATTCTTTATGTTTCTGTTATTTCCATGACAATGGCTGTTGGTTTTTTGTGAATAAAGGAAAATCACGGCAGAACAGAGAGGGGCAACCACCCATTAAAGAAAATCCCTAACTCTTTGTTATGCATCATTTCTTTTTGGGCTGATAACTTGTAGCAGAAAGTGCCACAGTTCACATATCCAACATTGAATCACGGAAAAGATTATGTTTTTTTTTCTTTTCAGCAAATGGGGCTCAGATGTGCGATATTGATAAGGGAAAAGAGAAGCCAGCCACGCCATTGCTGCAAACACCAGTTGCATTTCAGAGAAAGAAGTCTCAATCACATGCCATATCGGGTTACCCATGCAAAGATACGGGTCAAGTTAACTCCATCCCCAAATTCGTTAGATCGGATATAGTAACATCATCATCACTGCCTCTTTATGTACCTTCTATCCACACTGAAAAAACAATACACAGTCACACACACACACACACACACACACGTGCGCGCGGAGGAAAGACAGAGATGTCAGTGTAAGTTAAATCCATTTCCAATATCTGTTTTTCTCATAAACAAAGGGCTGTTGGCTGTTTGATAGTAGAGGAAAATCAAAGGCGGAATAGAGAGGGGCAACCACCCTTTTAAACAGCAACAACAACATACCCAGTGTGATCCCACAAGTAGGATCAGGGGAGGGTGGGGTGTACGCAGACCTTACCCCTACCTTGTGTCAGGTAGAGAGGCTATTTCGGATAGACCCTCGGTCGCAACCACCCTTTTAAAAAAAATCCCAATACTCTCTGTTTTGCCTCATTTCTTTCCTTTCTGGCTAACCTTTTCCTTTTATGGGAAATTCTTTGGTTTTTTCACCTCAAAATTCCCTAGCTCTATTTTAGGGGTAAGGTGTACGCAGACCTTACCCCTACCTTGTATCAGGTAGAGAGGCTATTTCGGATACCCTCGGCCGCAACCACCCTTTTAAAAAAAATCCCAATACTCTCTGTTTTGCCTCATTTCTTTCCTTTCTGGCTAACCTTTTCCTTTTATGGGAAATTCTTTGGTTTTTTCACCTCAAAATTCCCTAGCTCTATTTTCCCTCTTCTCTGTATACAAATTCCCTGTGGGATAGTGAGAGAGAAAAACAAAAAGAGAAGGAAGAGCTAGTTTCTTAAATCAGGAATAACACGGTCCTTTCGGTTAAAAAGTCTCGGTTACAGTCATAAAATGAGACTTACGAGAGTTTTTTGATTAAAACTCAAAAGAGAATAATGGACTTGCCATTGAAGAACATGAAATGGGCATTAAGGGCTCAGATTTGCCGTATTTGAACTAAGCAAAAGAGAAGGCAATGCCGCCATGGCTGCGGACACCAGTTTGCTATACAAAGCCATACCGTGTCGCATCGCCAAGATACAGGACAGTATTTTCTCAATGCCGTAATTGAACAAAGCCCGAAACGTAAGCAATCATCACAGCCCCTTTAAAGCATCAGTAGCAGCAGCACAAAGAGAAGAGGAAGACGAAGAAGAGTACAAAGGTGTGTTTGGATGAAGGATTTTATTTTTTTCTTGTTTAAAGGATCTTTACACAAATAGCCGACCGGATTCACCATTACTTTTCCTAGCCGGTATACATTGATTATACGCTAATTAAACATGGTTATACAAATGTTACATGAATTATACATATCTTATATATCCGACTGCTATTTTTAGTTTAAGCAGTTGGGTGGGCGGCTATATAGGTTAATTCTTCTTATTTGGAAGGGCTGTTGGTCTATTTGGTTATCAATGGAGAAATCACGGGCATAGCAGAGAGGGGCAACCACCCTTTACAAAAAATCCCAATCTCTCTGATGCCTCATTCTCTAGGCTATGCTCAACCTCTTTGCTTTCCTGGTAGAACCTCTGGGTAGGAAACTTTGAAAACTGTCATGGCTGCAAGCATCAATTAGCCTTATGAGACACAGAACAAATACCACAAATGGAACCTCTCCCCCCATATCTCACAGACCCATCCGAGCTGCCACGCCAAGTTACAGTTTTCTTCAGCTCAATAGAAATATGTCTGATTCATCTTCTCATCTTCCGCAGACGATAAAATCTTCATAGTCTCATTGCTTATAATTGAAACAGGGTGAGTAACAGGAAAAGGAAAAGAGGAAGATCATGTGAAATTTCACAAAAAGGGTGGTTTTGCAATCAGAAAAGTTTATCATTGATCATCGGCAGCCGAGAATGACAGAGAGGTGCAAAACCACCCATAAAAACTCCCCACTGATCTCTGCTTTCATCGCAGCCTCAGACTTAAGCTAATCAGATTTTCACCATTTTTGTGTTTCCTCTTTGAGCCTCAGATCTGTGTTATAGCTCAAGCAAAAATAGATTCGACAACGCCATGGCTGCAAAAATCACCAGAAAAACTGGGGGCATGCCCTGCCAAGATACGTGCCAGATAATTACAAATGCGTGATTAATAAGCTTAGAAGGGAATGATAGATTTACAAAATCAACATCGCCTCTTTGAAGCAATCGATCATGCTCATCATGCCGGCATAACTTGTCTTTACACCAAGAATATTCATCAACTATGAACTCACAGAGAAAAAGCAGCCAACCTTAGAGACTCATTCTTTTAGCACAATCAAGGCAACGGGGAGGCTCAAAATTCCCCTGTTTTCAGACAAAACCAAAAGAGCTTTAAAACATGCAATGGCTGCAAGCAACAGTTAGCCTTATGAGACAGAAGAAAAACCAAAAATGGAACTTTTCCCTTCAAATCTCAGACCCATCTGACCTGCCATGCCAGGATACAGTTTATTCAACTCAAGAGAAAAAATTCTGATTCATCTTCCACAGAAGAGTAAAATCTTCGTAGCCTCATTGCGTCACCTAAATTGAAACGGAAAGAATAACAAGAACAGGAAACTAGCAAGGTCATTATGTATTTTCACCAAAAGGGTGGTTTTTATAATTGGAAAGATTTATCATTTGAGTGATCATCGGCAGCAGAGAATGACAGAGAGGGGCAAAACCACCCATTGAAACTCCCTACAGCTCTCTGCTTTCACTGCTACCTCACATTTTCATGTTAGATTCTAAACTCATAATTCCAAAGGCACTGTGAGTTTAGTGCTTAAAGTTGTATCTTCAAAACAATACAGTACAACATAATTTAGTACTACATTATGTAACAACCATCCAAACAAGCTGTAACATTCAAATACTGAATCCACCTCCGCCTACATCCATTTCCCAATAGGCCAATAGAGAAAAGTGAGGCTCAGATCTGTTTTAAAGCTAGGGCAACAGGAGATTCCAAGGACGCCATGGCTGCAAAAACCATGCCCCGCCAAGATACGGGTCGGATAATCTCAAATGCCCCGATTAATAAATAAGCTCAGAAGGGAATTAAAAATTTGTTAAAATCATCATCGCCTCTTTTTAGCCGCCGATTAAACTCACCACCACCGCTTCCACTACCTCCACCAGCAGCATTTGCATGCTCCGGCAAAGGCATAAAAGAAAGAAAACCAAAATTGACGGTAACAACAATACAACCAAAGTTGACGGTAACAACAATCCAAACAGGCTGTTAATAATCCCTCCGTAAGAGGGAAGAAAGGGATAATTTGCACAAATAGTACTGAAGAAAGGACTGTTAGGGTTCTTACAGTGAATAGAAAAATCATGGGCTAATAATGCAGAGAGAGAGGCAACCACCCTTGCAACGAAAAATCCTAAAACTTTCTGTAGCCTCATTCTGAGCTTTTTACTTCGTTTCATCTCCGTAACACATATTTCTTGTATTTATTAACATTTCTTTTTGTTTCTTCGGCAATGAGTGATGAACGGCTATTCTTTGGAAAAATCAACCTAAATTTTTAAATTTATAT